CCACTGCCAGCTTCTCACCTTGTTTCCCAGCCCAGGGTTACCAGGGCTTGACCATCTGTGTTTGCAATGCAACAAATGAAAGGGAACATGACCTGCCCCATTCAGATTGTTCCTCCTGCTGGAAGCACCAGCCTTGCCCAGATTTTTTCTTTTGCTGTCTCCTATACTCTACTTGCCCTGAGAGCAGCAGTGAAGTCATTGGGAACACAAAGAGGACACCATTAAGAGGTCTAGATGTCTCCAGACTGCGTGACAGAATCTATGAGATCTGGAATAGGAATGACCCAAAACAACTGTCCCTGTGTGTAAGTATTTCTCTTGAGCCCAGTGCTGCCCTGCTTCACTACCTTACCTGGCACAGTCCCATTGCAACTCCAGCGCCCTTGTGAATCATTAACAGGCCAAGTCCAGCTGCTCCTTTCACAGCTTCTCCTTTCACACAGTTTTCTTTCCCAGCCCACAAATGTTTAATTCAAGCAAGGTACAGATAGAGAAGAGTAAAAAAGATTTCATGTGAATCTGCATCTGCTGACATGACAAGCAGCCAGAGCAATAGTAGGAAAGTATGCCCTATCTCTGCACTCATGGTGGGCAAGCTGGTCCTCTTTGCAACTTGTTTGTCCTTTGCTCTGACATGCTACAGACATCCCTGTTCATGCTCTTACAGGCAGCAGTCTTTTTTGGGGCTTGTAATAGGGGTTTAAAGTATCTCTCAGTCTCCTTCATGAACTTTCTGGCCCTGTTCCTTTACTAGCAGCACCTGGTCATTCACATCCCTGCAAGAAACTGCCATTTCCGTACCTTTTGCTTAGTGCAGGGTGGAGTTTTCTAGTTTAAGGCTGGTCAAAGTAGGCGGGCAGTGTAGAGCAGTCAGTCTTAGAGCTGGGATGTACACAAAGAGGACGGGAAGGGGCAGGCACAGGTGTAGGTAGGAGCTAAGTACACGTGTATATGAGACCCCAGCATGAAGACGGAGCGCCTGTGCATGAATGCACTGTTGTTTGTGTGACTGCCTGGAGGTGTGTGTACCACAGCAGCGAACGTGTGTGAGGGCAACTTTGCTTGAATCAGGTCTGGTGGTGCTTCACAAGGACTTGTTAAGGTGAGATTTTCAACCATTTCTTGGTATCTAGTGTAGATGCTCTTGATGCCAGCAAATTGTGACAATTTTCTGCAGACAGAAGCTGTGGGTCTGGCTTAGAGGGTAATTTCTCAGTGCCCTTGCTCAGCTTCTCCCACTAGTGACAGTCATGCCAGCTGCTCCCCCCTGAATGGGTAGACGACTTCTAATTCTGCAGAAACCGACCAGGCCAAATTGAAGCAGCATTTGAAAAAACTGTGAGCAACCATCAGTGCCATCAAAGACCAGTGACAGGAGCTTCTCTGGTGCCAGATCCTCTTTGCTATACTGGGGCCGCTACAGCAGTGGGGAACCTGTACATGTCTGGAGAAGTCCCTCAGACTGGCAGAACACTCAGCATTGGTTTGCACAGCACAAGGTGGTTTTGGGCTGTAACTGTCTCACACCTGCCAGAGACATGCACATATTCAATAAATTCCCTGTAATCTGGGGATATGGTGCCTAATGCTGAGTGCTTTTCATGGGTACATTTCCCTTGGGCTGCTTGCTGCTTTCTTTAACACTTGCTCTTTGCCAGGATCAAGCTTTTCCAAGGTCCCTATGTGTTTCTGGAAAAATCTAAAGTCTAAGTCTCTGCTTTTTTTTTTTTTTTTTTTTTTTTTTTGGAACAAGCCACTAACATGTTGACACTGGATTGTTGTACTTTTTGATAGTTTCTACATTGCATCCTTTGTGCCCTGAGATTCTTCCATTTCTTTCTGCTTTCAGCCAGATCTTGGCTCTTCTCTGTTAGCACACACACTGCTAACAGTGTGCTTTTCTTGTTCTGCAGCTGAGATTGTCTCAATTATTCTGGGCTGATCTTTACTTGCCAGCTCAGTGAGAACTTCATATTTTCACTTTTGCAATATGAAATTAATTCTATCACTGGTGACTGTGGATGTTTGCTGTAGAGAAAATGTAGTTAAGCTTTAGACCTTAGTTTAGAAACATCCCAGCTCCCATGATTGAGAAATACAGTGGTGAAAAATAAGGTTATATAATTAGTATTTCTCTTATATTAGGGAATGTATGATATGTAGTATAGTATGATGCTGCTCTTTCCTTCTTCTTCATCAGGCACACAATTCATTTCAGTCCTTCTACTCTCTGTGGAACAGACTTGTGATGGCAACAATTATCGCTGCTTCTTATATGAGTGAAGAAGCTGTTGAAACTGTGGTCTCACATGAGGTCATCTGCTGCTTTCTATCAAAAGCAGTCACTTTGTGAAATATCTAAAACATCCAGCTATCCCACCCTGGGATAAAAGTATACTCTTGTTTCCTGAAAAAAACCTGATTTCATTCTCATACTCGGGAAATTCACATATAGGTTTCCAAAGAAACAACTATTTCTGTGGTTTTAAATCTGCCTGGGTATCTACCTTCATGCCATCATTCATGTCTGCTCAACAGAATTTTTCTCAATTAATAGCTTCTGGCTATATTCCAGGAACTCTGTCAGGAGTTAGAATAACAATATTAATGGTGCCAGATGGAAGTGATATCATCAAAGTTCATTTGGAAGCCAGGACTTTTGGTAAACACTGCTTGTATTCATTTGGAAGGAAGAAACTGATATATCACTTATTTTCACAACAGTCTTTGTTTGCAGCTCTTCCTAGGGTTGGTCCAAATAGCAACCTGATTCAGCTCCTTGTCGGACCTGAACACTACAGGCCATTTGTGTAACCAAAAAGAATCAGAGGGCTTCTTGTCCAGGAGACAGGAATGATGTGGTCCCTCTCTAAATGCACAGCCCCATCCTTGCCAGACATTACTAAAGTAAAATTCATATTGTGGTAGCACCTGTTGGCAACAACCAGAATTATCCATCAGGCTGGGTATTTTCCTTACTCCGAGAAATTATAATTGCTGCCTTATAAACCCTAAGCTCAACACAAATGCACAGAAGGTTACTAAGATAAAAAAGCCAATTTATGCATGTATTTTGGAGGCACAGATTAGTACTGCTCATCATTGGTTAGCAGCAGTGACTGTATGTGAAAATCTAAAACATCAGTACTAGAGGAACTGAAATCATGAGAGGAGGCACCCCTGTGCAAATTAGTCTGAAAGCTTTGCTGCAGAGGAAAATTGAGGCAGGGCATAAGGAGGAGGTTAGGGAAACTTTGGGAACATTCAAAATTACTGTGGACCCAGATGGCATGGCAAGCATGTAGTAGGGAGGCAATGTCTGCATTGCAGCTGAGTTATTTTATACCTCTGCTGCTTGAGTAGGGGGGCTGCTGCTTGGCATGGGAATAGCTGCTTGGGTCTCATGTAATATGGACCGCACAAAAGGAGTGTATGAAGCTGTAAGGGCCTGGGCTCAGATGCTGCTCTGTATGGGATTAACATCTTGCCCTAAAAGCCCTTCTCTCTCTGTCCTGTCTTGCTGTGCATCACCCAGAAGGACTGACCATGACTAGGAAACAGAAAAGTTTTTTCAGTTTTAGTTCACCTTAGAAAATACAAAGCAGCTGCACTAGCAAGAGAGGTCTGTCTCCCCTGTGGCACAGCTAAACTGACAAACCTGGCAGGTGGTGATGGGAAGAACTCCATCCTGCCTGGGCTTCAGTGCTGCACAAGGAGCCTGTCCCCAGGTACAGCCCATGCTGCAGGATACCCAACCTGTATTTGAGGCACAGTCAGGCACGGCTGGGTAACAGAAAGAGAGCACACAAGCCAGGAGTAATAGGCAAAGTGTCCTTTAATGTATTTAAAAAAAAATTAATTAATTCTTTCTGCCTCAGATCTCATCTTCAGTGGTGTATTTCCTCCAGATTACCGTGCCAGCTGGTATTCAGGCTATGAATTGTTTCTGTGGTATTTTCATGCCATGTCCCCAATGGCATGGAAGTTTTTAGACACTTTCCAATAATTCAGTTCATCTTCCACAGGCAGAAGAGAGGTTTAGTGTATGAAACAAGGACCCAGCTTTGGGCAGACCTTTGAGTTCAACTAGCACATTCTTTTGTATGTCTTCTCATAAAAGACCAATAGGATGAGTGGGCTTGGAAGGAGGGATAGCAAGTGACAGTCTTTAAAAAGGAGTTAGGCTAAGAAGGGGGTTATTGGGGAGGGTAAGCAGTTAAACCTGCCTACACAAAGATGGGTCTTTCTAGCAAAATTGCCTACAAAGCTCTGTCTGGTGGAGATACTGTTCTTGGATTTATTACAGTGCCAAGCTTCTTCCTTTGGTAAAAATAAATGTGTGGTGACAATAAATGTTTCCTGAAATTTCAAAAGGAGTATAATCAAAACAAAAGGAAACCTACGTTGTATGTTTACAGCATTTTGGCATAAAAATAATTGTAAATATTAGTCAGAGTAAGGTGTTTAAAAGTAAAATGTGGAACTGTTGAATTCTGAACACCTCAGCAAAAAGGGAAGGTTTGCATTTTTCCTTCATAAAAATTGCCAGGATCATTTGCAGGGATTATGCACATGAAGTACACATTTGTCTGTACCGACTTCAGTGCACTCAACTAGCTGTTAAACTTTGATAAAAGTACAGACAAGCTTTTCACTATCTTCTAAGACTATATTAGAGTGGCTTCCTGACAGACAATGGTTTTGCTGCAGAAAACCTTCAGCCCTGCAGTACTTATGTCCTTTGCAAAGACACCTTGTGTGGTGGTTGTCACAGTGTCACTAGTAGCGTGGCAGCTTTCCAAAATCTTGTGCCTGCAGAGGGATGCACAGGAGCCTGATGTACCACATCTTGCCTTTTTCATCATGTGATGCTGAACTTCCTCTGTCTCTGCAGGTCCCCTGCAATCATGGTGAAGTCTAGAAGAGTGCAGGTGCTCCTGATTCTGGTAGTTCTGTCCTTCCTTCTTATCCACTTCCTACCCTGCAGCAACAATGCCCATATGGAGGAAAAACCTTCTCCTGTCCACATCCTTATTCTCTCCTCCTGGCGGTCAGGATCCTCCTTCACTGGACAAATTTTCAGCCAGCACCCCAGTGTCTTCTACCTGATGGAGCCTGCATGGCACGTGTGGGTTAAGATGTACCAGAACAGTGCCAAAGTCTTACACATGGCAGTGCGGGACTTAGTCAGGTCCGTCTTTCTGTGTGACATGTCTGTGTTTGATGCTTACATGTCTAGCCAGAAGAAAAAGTCTGATTTATTTCAGTGGGAGACTAGCCGAGCCTTGTGCTCCCCACCTGCCTGTGACTCATTCAGTCGCAGTGACATAATCACTGCAGGGAATTGCAAAACCATCTGTGGCAAGTACCCATTCAGCAAGGTGGAGGAAGCTTGTAAAACCTATAGCCATGTTGCCATCAAGGAAGTAAGGTTCTTTGACCTGAAAGTTCTCTATCCCCTTCTCACCGATCCATCCCTGAACCTCAAAATCATTCACTTGGTACGTGATCCTCGGGCTGTGTTCAGGTCCCGAGAGAATACAATGGCAGACCTGAAACGCGACAGTAACATTGTTGTGGGGTCTCGGAAGACAAAGGGAGAAATGGGGCCCTACAACACAATGCAGGTAATCTGCAAAAGCCACGTTGAGATATACAAGGCAGGAAGTCAGGCTGCTCCAAGCTTCCTGAAAGACCGGTATCTGCTGGTTCGCTATGAAGACATTGTCAGAGACCCCCTAGCAAGGGCTGCTGAGATGTACAGGTTTGCAGAACTCCATTTCACACCAGAGCTTCAGAAGTGGGTCCACAACATCACCCATGGAAAAGGTGACGGAGCACAGGCCTTTGATATTGGGTCGAGAGATGCACTGAGAGTATCCCAGGCCTGGAGAAACACACTTCCCTTCCAGAAAATAGAAAAAGTGCAAAATGTGTGCAAAGATGCAATGGATTTGCTGGGCTACCGGCTAGTTCAGTCTGAAGAAGAGCAGAAAAATATGTCTCTGGATCTTTTGTTTGCCCAGAACTCCTCTGAGCATCAAATTTTGAAGGCAGAAAAGCTGGTCTCTGCATCTACTTTCTGAAGGCTGCAGAGTGCTGAACTATTCACTAGAGCCAAGGAGGACAGAGGTGCAGGCATAGAAGTGTAGGAGCATGCGTGGATGCAAGAACAAGTGGTACAAGAACCCTGACTACATTCAGGAGAGCTCCCAGCAGCACAGGGTCACTCTCCAAGACCCCTGGAGATACAGCCACAATGGAGGCTAAAGTAATGCAGGTTTGTTTTCCAAATTAATTATGTTTAGGTTGGAGCACACAGAATGCCAAAGGAGTAGGACCAGATGGCAGAAGCTCAAACCCCCCACAGACCACAGCTGAAGACTAGAGAAACCACATGGAGCAATTGCACTGCCAAGGAGGAGGAAATATAAAAGGAAGCTGAATAAAGAAAACATTGCTTGACATGCTGCCATGCAGGATATGTAGTGCCAGAAAAGACGCAGGGATGACCAGACATTTGGTTTCTGGAAAGATGTTGGGCTTTGGTTTGATTTTGTGTTGGGTTTTTTGTTTTGGGGGTTTTGGGTTTTTTTTGTGGTTTGTTTTTTTGTTTTTTTTTTAATAGTTGCATTTTCAAGTCCAGTTTTCCTTTTGCTCCATTTGCCTGAGTATCCAGCCTTGGTGGCAAAGGTGGGGAAATGTTTGTGTTCACTTACTGTATAATGGGAAAATGAATTAAACCAGCTAATGCTGAAAATAAAAACTCCTGGGTTTTCATGTGGAAAACCATTTCTGTGATTATGTGAATCCATTTATTTTTTAGCTGAAATAATTCTGTCAAGAACAGTTGTTTTCCTGGGAATTCCCACAGTCCACATGGGTGGCAGAAGAATTGATGCTAAGGTTGAGATCCTAAAGACAAGGTAAAGACATAGATTTCATTGGCATAAATACCAAAACTGAGAAGACAGGTTAATGGGAATGGATTGAAGAAACCGAGAGAAGATTGGGAAGTTCTCCTATTGAAATATTTGGTGAGAGTATTTCTAGTCTTGGAGCACAAAAAAATAAATTTAATGGTCGATGCCATTCTCCACTGCCTCCATTGGAGGTGCCATTCTCCCACCTCCAATGGGAATATATAGTTCAAACCTGAACAACAGAATGGTTTTCACCTGGTTTTAAGTGTTCCAGAAGACAAGGAGAAAAACTTGCTACCAGATTTGGGGAGGAGTGAAATGCCTACAGATCCCTATTTCTGAATATCCTTTTCCATGTGTAAACTGCAGAGTCCCTTTAACACAGAACACTCACTGCCTTAGCAATACGGGTATCTGTATTCCTAGAGCTAAACCCCTAATCCCTGAAAAGGGCGGGATATTGTATTATGGAAATAATAGTCTTATTACTAGGGATCGCGTTGAAGGACAAAATCCATGCTGAGCAGGCAGCATTGGCCTCATGGTAGTAAGTTCACTGAAAGCAAGGTATCCTCCTTTACACTGTGTTTATGCAAATTTAGGGCAGGCAAGCTGACATAGAGAAGTGGGAGTTGCACTAAGCAACAGAAGCACAGAGCCACTGTTTTTCTTTATAGTCCCTTTAAAATAGACCTTAACATATTCAGCTAAAAGCAGCTAAAAGCCCATTCTTACTGAAGTTATAGTAAAGAGCTTCCTCCTGTAAGTGCTAAGCAGCTGGATTTTGAGCAAACATAGATTCTTTTTGGTACATTGCTACTTATCTTGACATTAACCAATGCCAGCTTGAGTGGCTTAAGTTTTATTATGAATACTTGTTTTCAGTGGATGCAATTCTGTGTACCACGTGTTTACCTGAATAAAAGCCTCCACAGTGTTTCCAGTCAGTAAAAAAATTGGGTAAAAGTAACATATGATGCATTTCCCTAATGTACTGTTTTGAAAATTACTTACACCTCTGCTTCCTAAGCTTAATCAGAGAAAATGCAGAATTGTTGATTCCAGTATGTCTTTATTACAGTCCTTTAGGTATGTTTCCTCAATACAACAATTTGTAAGATTTTCTTTTTTTCTGGATACAGCAAAGTCTGCTGCCAGTCTTGTTACATGAAAATGTAAAGTTGTCTTGATTTGAGCAAAAATAACTTAAAATACTTTTTGGAGGAGGAAAAGAAAACCCAACAAAAATCCCTCAAAATCTCAAGATGCTGATGGTGACATGTAAAACTATGACAAAGTCCTTTGGCATATGCAATGAAGATCACGGAAGTCTGTTTAAAAACAGACATTAAGTTTACATTGTATAAGTTTAAAAGAGTAAACTCTGTTTTTATACCAATGAAATGTAAGATGGCAAAGTCTCCAGTCAAAAGGACATTTAAAAGCTGACTCTGTCTGTTGCTCTTCAAACTAGTGCATACAATCAGTTTTTTATTGGTAACTCTAGTTATGAAAGCATGGAAATTAATTTATTTTGATGAATGCTGGCTAACTCTAAAAGGAAGCAAATAGGTAATACCCAAATTCCAGCTAATAGTTTGTAGACCCAGAATTTCTGGCTGTAGAATTCTCTTTAACTCAAAGTTCTTGTATGCACTTTGCCACTTTGCTCACGTTTCCAGGTATACAAATATTGCTGCTCCAGGCAATAATAGAAAGAAACTTCTTTGAGCCACAAAAAGAACCTTCCTGACCTTCTGTGATAGTAGAGGAACCTGATAGGAATACGGAAAACCAAACTGTTCCAGCATGTTGAAAGGAGCATAACTGTGTTGTAGGTAAGACAAAGCACAGAAAACAAGGATTTTTATCATGGGAAAAGAGAACCAGAAGTAGAACCATACAATATGGTGTCATCTCTGGGTCCTCCAGGTTTTAACCTGGTAAAAGAGACCTAGACCTACGTGCATGCACAAGAAAGAGCATCTCTGAACAAGCAGTGCCTTTCAGGAGTTCATAACAGAAGCAAGAGGGCAGCCTTGAGTAAACTGTGGTCTTTGTGTCTTAGTTCCTACGCCTACTGAGTGCACAAACACACATGGAAAGATTCTCAGTGTTAGACAATATGTCCATAAGGCTCTCCAAATGCAAAAACACTGTATGTGAACTCAGAAGTTTGCACTGCACCTAAGATTAATTGCTCCAACAAGACAAACTCCCTCTTAAAATAAGTGCTACTTAGAATTATAAAAAGATAGAATAAATCTGACCATTTTATATTGCAGCTATTTAATTCATTCTACCTCTCACATTGAATTCTAGAGCAGTTTTGTTTAACAAGACCATTGCAACACTATGGTGCTGCTGATGTGTGTAAGCAGTCCAAGCTAGAATGGCAGTTTTCAGCTACAAGAGGTGACGGGTCTCCTGTTCATGAACCTGGTCATCAGCAAAACTTGAATTTCAAACCAAGCTGGTAATGTATCTAATGTAAAAAAAAAAAAAATTACTATATTAGCTATGTTGTCTTGCATTCCCTCATTAAGTGCTTGTCTGGCTTCCACACGAATCTCAAATAACTATTCAAAGTCTGAATAGCACGATTATGCCAAATAATTCTCACTTTTTCAATCCAGTGAAACACTGTGTAGTGCTGTTTTAGCATTTATTTGGTAACATTGGTTAACTCCTTGAGTAATCAGTGGGTGTTGCAGTGGTTTCCTGAAACAGCAGTCTCATTATATTGTTTTTTATGTTCAATATAATTATTAATTATAATTTTAATTTGGCTTAACATCAGCCATTTCACAATCCACTTTAATTTTCCGAGTGCCACAGTGCAATATGCTAAAAACCTAAAATGTTAACTCTTTAGAGAGGTTAAAAAAGGGACAAACCAAACTTTGCCTTTGCCAGCCCATTTTATTTCACCAAAAGAGTGAATTCCAGATTTTTAGCAATATGCTAAAACCCCAAAATGTTAACTGTTTGGAGAGGTTAAAAAAACCCCAAAAACCAGACTTCGCCTTTGCCAGCCCATTTTATTTCACCAAAAGAGTGAATTCCAGATTTTTAAGACTCACTTCAAATAATATTAAAATAAGTAACCAGAGCACAATTTCAGGCTAAAAGTACTGAGTTTTTCAGATTACGACTTTATCCTAGTAATAGTGTTCTCTCTCAAATGCAGCTTAGGTGATAGATACATAACCTCTGATAATTCCCTCTTAACTTTAATTTCCTATTTCAACTATTACACATAGCCCTGAAAGCTGGTGTATTTTTCCCAAGTAGAATATACGGCTTGGTACAAGCATTCCTTTGATTAAAGCAGCTGCATCTTAGATCTGCAGAGATGCAAAACAGGCCTTTTAATACAAAAAAATTTAAAGCATTTCTGAAACTTCAGAACTCGATCAAATATTCCACTGTGTTTCTGAAATGACTATTACACTTATGCAACTGTTCTGGATCAGTAAGGTCCTCTTGTTAACTCTCTCTAAACACTATCCGCTTTGCTACATTTTCAGCTCCAAATTTGGCTATCAATTTATTTCTGACCTGTTCATCATCCTTTTGCAATTCTAAATCGTCCTCTCTGCTCCATACAGGGTACCCATCCAAGCGCTGCCCTGTCTGCAGAAAGTATGAAGTAGCTTCCACGTCACCACTGTTTTTCAGAAAGGCCTGTGTAACAGTGTGCAGGTCCACAGCAAACTTCTCCATGAAGTGCTCCATAGTTTTTATTACCTGTCCCACCACATTGGAAGAAGAACAAGTGCTTTGTGGTCTTTCTTGCCTTTGTAACTGAATGTCAGGGAAAGCAGAGTCCTCTGGCCCAGTTTTCAGCTCAGATGCTGTTTCTCCTGGGGACCTTCTCACTCCATCTTGTGTGGAAAGTTCTGCAACATCTGAAGAGTCACTTTCTGACTAACAGTAAGAGAAGTGGAATCACCAATTAGAGATGGTATTTTCTGGCAAATCTTTTACCACTGCAATCAACCACCTTTTACTCTGACTCTACAGTGTATTAAAACCTCAGAAATTAGTAAGCATAGTAAAAGTTAGTGACTGAAGCCATATGTGTTAATGAGGCTGCACATGATCACAGAAATCCATAAACCATAAGAGAGAATTTGAACAAACTAAGCATAAAAGGCAAAAGTAAGTGTTGATGCAACGGCAGGAACGTTTTTTGCCTGAGGTGAAACGATGACTTTCATTTGCTAGTAGAGTTTTTAATGTGACAACCCCCATCACATAAACCTCCTCATGCTAACTTGCACAGGGAAGAAAAAATGCACCAGCCAGGCGCCATTTATCGCAAACCACATAGATAACAGCTCACAGTTCAGCCAGAGCAGAAGGGATATCGCGGCGCAAACTCATTTCATGTGTTAATCATGAGTTTCTGTTGTGCCATCTGTGACACCGGGGAAGGCCTGCCCCGAGCACTGCGCGCAGTGGAGGCTGCTGCTCCCCAGGCTGGCCCCGGTCGCTCACCTCCGTGCTTTCGAACTCCCGATTAGCTGCCGCGAACAGACCCCTGATCTGCGTGGGATCCTCCGTCTGCGGGGGCTCTGCGGAAACAGGCGCGGATCGTCTGCCAGGCCACAGCGACCCACGCCGGTCGCCGCCGCCACCACGCCCCCTCGCAACCCTGCCCCGCCGCTGTGGCCCCTGCTCACCCCAGAGCCGCGGCAGCAGGTGCCGCAGGTAGCGGTCACGCATGGCCTGCCAGCTGTGCCGCGTCAGGCCGCTCCGCTCCAGCTCTATCCACAGCGCACGGCCGCTCACCCGCACCATGCCCTGGCCGCGCACCGCCTGGAGCAGCGCCGCATCCTCCGCCTCCGTGAAGGCCAGGCGGCCGCGGGCTGTCAGTAGGAAGGGCTCCAGCGGCAGCCGCTGGTTGCGCTTCACGCACTCCGCCACGTACTCGGTTGAGACGGCCCCGTCGGGAGCCACCTCGCCGGGCTGCGCCAGGAGCACGGCCCCTGGCTCCTGCACCCGACACAGGCGCCCGCCGCCCGCCAGCACTAGGGGCGCCAGGCGCAGCTTGGCCAGGCCGGGCCGCAGGTAGAACCGCATAGGATGCCCGTCATCCCACAGGAACAGCGATCGGGATCGCGCTGCTCCGGCCTGGCCGCCCGCCATGGCCGCCCCAGCTCCGCCCGCCGCCGTCACCGCCTGCGCAGGCGTGCAAGGGCGGAAGGGCGGAGGCGGCGGCAGCTGCGGGGCGATGATGGCGGCGGCGGCGGCGGCGCGCGAGTGCGGCGTGGAGGAGACTGAGTCGCACCTCAGCAAAAAGTGAGGGTGGGCGGGTGATCAGGTGGGGCCGGGCCGGGGAGGTGAAAGTGAAGTGTGTCCAGCTGATCCGGCGCGTTGTCTCCGTCAAGGCGCCCGTCGGAGCGCTATGCTGAGCTCCGGCGCTGTGCGGCTCCGCAGCTGGGTCTGGAGGGCCGCGCCCGCGCTCCGAAGGCAGCAGGCGCTTCATGACCAAAGCAGGTCGGTGCTTTGCGTCTGGCTTGGCCCGCTTCTTTCCTTATGGAGTCGTGGAAGGTGGGGTCAGGAGCGCGACGGGAGCCTGAGGGCCATGGGGGAGTAGGCTAGACCGCGAAGGTGGCTTCGGGAGCCCTACGTTACTTAGGGGGGAGTTTGCCTTCTCTCACTTACACGCTGCCTGGGGCTGCTGATAGGCTCTTATGGACAAAATGGAGTGCTTCAAGTCCTTGAGCACGTAGGCACGCGTCGTCAAGGTCTGTCTAAACTATGTTTAATTTCGCTTTCACTTTCTGTGAGTGTTTGTATCGTAGGGGATTAACTGAAGGAGTTCAAAGTAGAAAATATTTTAACGTGTTAAAGAATTATTTTGACTATTGGAAAAAGTAAGAGAAGTGGTGGGTTTATTTGTACAGTTAGGTTTTGGCAGAATCCTGCCAATCTTTTTCCTGTAGAAGTATTAGAGTACTTGCTGCATCCGGTTTCCTTCTCTTTTGTAGTGAGCTGAAGAGACGTTTAAAGGCTGAGAGAAAAATAGCTGAAAAAGAAGCAAAGCAGAAAGAGCAAAGTGAAAAGCATTCAAATAAGCCTTCCTTGACTTCTGAGGATAATGTTGGTACTGATGAGGAGAGCTTGGATCCAAATGTGAGCATCTGGTCCCACGCTTATTAGATGTTCTGTGAATCGGTTTTATTGACTTGCATTTGATTTTTTTATTCACGGGTAATTAAAAGGTTAAAAGGGGAAAGATGTATGTTTCTACATTAGGGCAGCTACATTTAAATTCACAGCCTGTAACATATTTTCAGATTCTAATAAAATAATTTGATTTTGTTTGTTTCTGGTGACAGCAATACTACAAGATCCGTAGCCATGCAGTCCAACAGCTTAAGGGCTCCAGTGAAGATCCCTATCCCCACAAGTTCCATGTTGACATATCTCTCTCAGATTTTATAGACAAGTACAGTCACCTGCAGCCAGGAGATCACCTGACAAACATTACCGTGAGAGTGGCAGGTAAAAATTTACCTGGGATACAGAAAAATATAAAGTTTTAGCTGCTTTTATTGATGGGTTGGCCTTTTTTGAATTTTGCTGATCTCTTACTCAGTCGTGAAGCCTTGTAGCAGTGTTAAACTATTCAGGACATACCCTTCAGACTGAGTGGATCTATACAACATCCCTTGCAACTATAAGATCAGGTTGTATGTAACATGGGTTCTGGGATCCAAAGTTTTTACAGTCTTATTTCCACTGGATTTGATTTTGAGACTTAACTGCTTCTCTTTCACTTAAATCACAAATCAGTTAAATAGTTCAGAGCTGCTGATTCTAAGTGATAGTACTGTGGCTTTTGCTCCTGCACCCTTTCTGGTAGGGACTCTCTTCCTGATGTCTAGCATACTTTTGATATTTAGGTCGAATCCATGCAAAGCGTGCTTCTGGAGGGAAACTGATTTTCTATGATCTTCGTGGTGAAGGAGTCAAGCTGCAGGTCATGGCAAATTCCAGGTAAGTAGAGGTATTCCCAACATTCAGTTTAGCATTTTGGGGTCTAGATATATGTATTTTGAGATAAAATATTCTATTTCATCTGTGGTTTGGCTTAGGCAGCCGAGTAATGTTTTGCTTTAGATGTTATGGTTGACTTCCGGGTAAAATAACTTATATATGTATATATTTTTAAATGGATTTTGTCTTGTGAGTCACCTGGGGACAGTTTTGAGTATTGAATTTTAAATAAACGTGCTTACATTTGTTTTGCAATTGCAGCCTCTACAAATCCGAGGAAGAATATTTCCGTGTTAACAGCAAGCTGCGTCGTGGGGACATTATTGGTGTAGAGGGGAATCCTGGGAAAACAAGGAAAGGGGAACTGAGTATTATTCCTTATGAAATCACTCTCTTGTCTCCGTGCCTGCATATGTTGCCTCATCTTCATTTTGGCCTCAAAGATAAGGTATTTGTCATACCTGTCAGTCTTGGAAGCAATTTGACAGATCATGGAATGGTTTGGGTTGGAAGGGACCTTTGGGATCATTTAATTTAACATCCCTGCCATGGGCAAGAATGCCACAGATAGATCTGAATGGATGATGTTTGTGACCTGCTGATATTATCAGTCAACAAAGGAATATTAGTTTTGTTTTGGTATTTTTTTCCTTTGGCATGCAGCTTGTTCTAAAGATATGTGTTCTTTTCAGGAAACCAGATATCGTCAGAGATACTTGGATTTAATTCTTAATGATTATGTGAGGCAGAAATTTATAACCCGTGCAAAGATCATCACTTACCTTCGTAGCTTTCTAGATGAGTTGGGCTTTCTTGAGGTAAGGCATCAGTGTTTTTTCTCTCTGCATACTGAATGTGTTGACAGTTTTTTAGCTTCAAGGATGCTTTATATTCAGGCTCATATACAAAGCACTTACAGAACTGACAATAATTGCCTCAGCATGGTGTATTTTATCAGCTTAATGTAATGGGAGCAATTCCTTTCCTCTCTTTGTAAAGTTAAGATTATTTATCAGTTGGTGAGGTTATGGCTTGGGAACCTTTTTTGAAGGTAATACTCCAAACTACTACTGTCCTTTCCATATTTCAGTAAATTAGGGTGAAAACAACGTCTTTGAAATGTTGTTTTGCATCTTTGAAATGTTGTCCTGCCTACAGGACATAGAGCTGAAGCCAGTTCTATGTCCTGTAGGCAGAATTGGATTGTGTTGACCTAGGTGCAGGAAATTGCACTTGGCCTTCTTGAGTTCAATTTTCTGTAGTGTAGAGAGAGGATTTTGTGATAATGCTACAGCGATGTTCCTGGCTTTGATAACATGAAGCCAGCAGGTTCACATTTGTAGTAAATATGAGTGACTCTTCAGAGCAACAGATGAATTTGTTATTACTGACTGGATGAAAAAAGTGCAGGTTTGTCCAGTGGACTTTAGTTTAGAATTGTTTTCATACACTGAAATGCTGAACTGTAAGTGAAATATAGATTTTTCATTAAAACTAGCTGGTTTGGGTTTTTTTGTTTGTTTGATCTATGCATTTCTGGTTTGGAAACAGATTTCATGAAAACAAGGGAATTTTTTTTGTTGTTACAGGTAGAAACTCCTATGATGAATGTAATTCCAGGTGGAGCTGTGGCAAAGCCATTTATCACATACCACAATGAACTGGATATGAATTTATATATGAGAATTGCTCCAGAACTTTACCATAAGGTAAAATGCAAGCCTCTCATGGTTAAACCTATATTTTTCAAACTGTATTAAAAAAAGCAAATGTAGCTAAAATGGAGATTATTTTTGAAGAAAGGTGGATTTGTCTCATGAATGAGTTTTGTAAGGTTGTGTTGCAGTTGCATGTGTTTGGGTTCTCTTAGGTTCTTTTGAGAAAGTGTATATACTAGATTTTCATTTTGTCTAGATGTTGGTGGTTGGTGGTCTGGACAGAGTATATGAAATTGGGCGTCAGTTCCGGAATGAAGGAATTGATTTGACTCACAACCCTGAGTTCACAACTTGTGAATTTTATATGGCTTACGCGGACTACCATGACTTAATGGAAATTACAGAGAAGTTGCTTTCAGGTGATGTATGCAATTTAAAAAAGAGTAAGAATCTCTGGAAGAATCAGATGTTATGTAGCGTACTCCTTTTCTAAACCTCACATTCATTTTGTAGGGATGGTGAAACATATTACTGGGACTTACAAGATCACTTACCACCCAGATGGTCAAGATGGACAGGCCTATGAGATAGATTTTACTCCTCCCTTCCGGCGAATTAGCATGGTGTATGATCTGGAAAAGGTCCTGGGAGTGAAGTTTCCATCAACTGAGTGTTTTGAAACTGAAGGTTAGATGCTGAGTATGAATGTCCTGTAGTTCTTCGTTAACAGAAAGCAGGCAAAAGGTTGCCAGTTCTCAGGCTGCAGTCTGTTAGCTGCTTTTTTTGCAGTAGTACTAACACATGGGATGTCTTTCCTCTGGTTTTGTTGGTTTACGTGAGTCCAGAAAGAAGCGTTCATTCCTTGCCATCTTTGGCAGGATCTGACTCTTTTGGCTCTTCCTTGTTGAATATATGTGAAAGGATATACTCAAGAAGCTTGATGTATGGAGTTCTTGATTTGTTGAAGAGATCCAGCTTTTTGCTTCTTATTTCTTATCTCATGTGCAGTTGAGTTTCCATGCCTGTAATTGTAGCTTGGGTGTATGATTATTTGGGACCTTCTTAAAAATGTAATTATGTGCTATTTTATTCCTGGAATCGAGAGACATAAGGAAACAAGTTCATATAATTTATAGTGATTGTTTTTCCCCCCCCCAGTTCCCTCCTCTCTCCCCCCCCCAGCCCCCAAATAATAATGTCCAGCAGTTATGTGGTGTGTGCTTAACTGTTGTCAAATTTCTGAAGTATAAAATAACTACTATTTTACTGTAAACAATTAAAACCAAACGCCATTTCTGTAGATTAACATTTAAGCTCATGTTTTCCATGATGTCTACCATTGGGATTTTACAAGTGACTCTAAGAAATGTTGAAGGATTTAGTAAGAACAAAAAATGGTTGTTGGGATGGCTGTTCTAATTTTCGTCTGCAAATTCAGAAACTCGCAGGTTCTTTGATAACCTTTGTGTGGAGAGAAATGTTGAGTGTCCACCTCCCAGGACAACA